TTTAGTCATCACTTCATTTCTCCCTTCCTGATTTCTTTGGATTTTCAATGTTTCTTTTTGAAGTTGGTTAAATGGTTCTAAGCCTTTGGTAAAGTAACTATACCATCTCTCAGCTATCTGGGAGTGCTGGTACTCAAATTCCTTCCCAGAATTTATCTTAAAGGGTTACATTCTGACCTTTTGCTGGTATTTAGATTGCATCAGTTGGAGCTGTTGCTTCTGCCTGACTTCAGCTTCTGACTGGCTTCCACCTACAAGGGGGAAAAGGCAAGAAGGGGAAACAGAGTGTTATGCCAAAATGCCAGTCATCACAGGCTAATTAATACATCATCAGTCCACAGCATGAGTTTCTGTAATATTTTTTGCTCCTGGAAATAAAAGCACAACCTATTTTCTTAATAAGACATTTAAAATGCAATTATTTAAAAGAAAAAGGTTTGATGGAAAAATGAAGCAAACACCTTCATCGAAGAGGATAGTACCACTAAGGTTTTCAAACACGGAGAATTTGTTTCACTTACACTGAAATCATGACTGACAGACCACACTAAACAATAAGAGATACTACTTGTCATCCAAGTTCTAGAACATTCCTCCTGCTTAAATATTTCCTAACTTAATAAAGAATGTGCTCACTTATGCTAAAATTGCTTTTCTCCTTTAAGTCTACTTCCCTATGTGTCAGTAACAAAGATTTGGGTATTCTCAGCAATTTTGTCACTGAAAAAGCTTGTAGTCTTTATAACCTAATACTTTAAAAGCATAATGACAATTGTCTAGTTACTAATTCACCTCTCTTTCTCACACATGCACACACACTCTCTCTCTCTACTCAAGAGAGAAATATGGGTGTTGGATTGTTTCCTTTCTTTCTTTGGAACCTAAAATAACTTGGGTTTGAAAATCCTCAAAGCTTAAGAATTACAACATAAGGTGTTTTTTCCCCCTTAGTGTTCATACAAGCTTGGTGTACATTTTATAAAGAATCCTTTGAAATCATTCTCTGGTGCTTTGGTGCCTAAGTATGTCCCTCTTACAGAGATGCTGGAAAAATCATTTGCATTCCATTCATTTAGTCTAATAAAATAAACATCCCACTGTAGTTTTTGTAATTGAGCTGTAAAGATACCACAGGGACAGTCCTCCAATTTCCAAAACATATATTAGACCTGTTTGGTTGTGGCTCTTAGATCTCCATTGCAGTGAGAACTGTGGAAGCTTTTATCAAACATTACAGTCACTTACAAAGCTCCTAGAATCTGAATGGAATGGAAGAGTAAGAAGATATTTGTATTAGAATAAATGAGAAAGCCGGTGCCTACGTATTTGGAGGTTTTGCTGAAATTCCTAATGAAGTTCAATATATTCTAGAATTTCCTTCCTTATTCCTTGCACTTTCTCGTATTCATATTTGACTAATCCAATATGAAGCTGAACTGAGACTCCAGACTCCTTTTTTTTTTTAACTGAGGTACCAAAACAATAGATGTCAACAGCTCCAAATTTCAAATTAAGGTGCTTGATTCCCTAAACAGAATCTGGAAGAGAGGTAGCTAAAATCTCGCTGAAGAAATTTTAACTAAGAAGGCACATTTAGTCTATACAAGGAGTGGAGAAATCAAAAGCTAGTTGTCATGGTGCCTATCCTCATCATGAAAACCCCAAGTGTGCCAGAGTAGGACTGTGTTATATTCTTTAGAGGTTCAAAATTCCTGGTTTTTATGAAGTAGATAGGTCTTTCTTTCAAGGCACTTCTATGCAGACTTGAACATCCAGCTTTTGCATTAACAGTTAAAAATTTAAAAAAAAAAA